TATATATATATGTGACATATCGTATATGTATATACAATCTATTATTAACAAACTAACTGCAGTGAACGTAGAATAAATTAATCTCTTTGAGTTGAAATGGATAGAAAGGAACGACGAGGAAACATGGAAAAAGATTTTTCGGACACAGTAGTACTTCTATTCTTGAAAAATATCGCATACGAAAGACTAAGGAAATACTATAGTATGCGTTACATATACTAGCATTTCTCTAATTTTTTGTATACGAGAATAGGGACCTAGCTTGATATTCAAATCAGAATCACGATCTGGATATAAAATAGATTAGTTTTCGATCAGCGATGCGCCTATTTTTCAGGGATTGCCTTGATTGTTGTTGCTGTGATACGACAGTCATTTGTTTCGAAGGTGGTCTCGGGAGGAAGAACAAGACAAGACACAGACGAAACGAGAAACGTTCGAAACGCGTTGTTTTCGATTCACGCGCGGCCATTCGTTCGATCAACCATACTCAGTGACAACCGCAAGGATGTACGAGGATTGCGTATTGCAGTCGATGCGATTTCCGCAGAAGCTCTGGCGGATAGTGAACGAGTGCGAAACTGGAGCAATCCGTTGGGGTGCAAACGGTGACACCATACTGCTCAATTATAAGAGATTTCAGACGGAATATCTGGATACGCGCCGACCCATCTTCAAGACGAGTAATATCACTAGCTTCATCAGGCAACTGAATCTCTATGGTTTCCGCAAGGTCACTTACCACGGCCGCGATCCAGCCTGCAACTCTTGCAACCCGCACGTGCATGAGTTCCTACACGACAACTTCCGAGCCGACCGCATCGACATGTTATCCAAGGTGTGCCGGAAAACCGGTGGGAAAAGTCGGTGCTCGCAACATGAAGTCGCAAAAAATGAGGAAGAGAGTCCGCGATTGGAAACAAATCGCGTATCTCGCTTAAAACTGTGTCAGGTATATTTGTCCAACGCGAGTTATGGTATTTTCATTCGGTATATAGTGTAAAAAGAAAAAAGTTTATACGACTTCTTCTGAGTTGATTTTCATTGTAAACTGAAGAACGGAAAATTTGATTATTAATATTTGTTAACTGATATAGATCTATTGCTTAATATATATAATATTTAATATTAATTCATTACATCATACTTGATTTTTTTCAAAAATATTTTGACTTCTTGGTAGATAATATATAATTCATATGCATATATGTGGTACTATAATTATTATAATTCGCAAGTTGGCGCTAACTGAAACTCTGGAGCAAATTACCCAAGAATATCGACGGGAACATGATCAAGGAAAAAAATTGATTATAACAAAGGATAATACTCTGAAACAAATAAGAAACACTCAAGAAGATACAGGTACATTGAATTTGATTACTTATCAAATCATCTTAAATCATATTAAGGCCCCTATTCTTAATAACGATTACATTATTATTGCAAAGATTGTGTATATGATAAAAAAGTTGTGCAATATTATAATTGTCGGTAGGAAAATTAAAATTAATTAACAAAATAGGAGTCTAAATTATTCAAAAAAATTAATTTTATTTTTGTAATTTCTCTCTATAAAAGATTTTTGAGAATAATCTTTTTCAGATTTACACTACAATTTCTATTTTTCAATTGCTAATATTAACATTTAAATTATCATAACAATAAAAACAGCAAAAGTACATATTGAGATTTCTGTTAGTTTTAATTTTATCAATAAAATTAAGAATAACAGAAATCTCAATATGTGTACATAAAAATCAATGAAAACTTCGATCATTTTTTTTTATTCTATAGAAAACTGATTTTAATTAATAAGAAAGTTATATTAGAATAAATCTGGATGTTCTATATTTCTATATTTCGATCTATTATTTGAATTTTTAAAATATTAAAATAAAGCAAATGAGCGCTAATAATATGTTTATTGTTTGTACATACTATTAAATCAATTCTTATTTTCTAATATTGAGAGTTCTACAAAATAAATTAATTTTTTAAATATATTATTTTTTATACATGTTTGCTTTATATTGCACGTATATTTTTTTATATTGTGGCGATTGCATTATCATAATCCGTATAAATGATATTTGCGGATTCGCTCTTTGTTCAGATTCCGGCATATGTACGTTTGTACTTTTATTTTGTATACATAAGAAGTTAGACAAAAGGTACACAAGATAAGTAGATCTGTTAGCACGGAGACCTTTATTGTATTTATTGAAAACTATAACTTTTCCAATCGATCGAAAAAATATTTATATTTGTTTTGAGAAAGATCGGTAATGGTAACGAAACTAACTTTTAGTCTTTTGAGAGTGAGGACTTTGCGCAGTCGATGCAAGAAAATAAAAAAGATGGGAAAACAGACAACGAACGGACATTATAATTGTTCTACTTTTAATTTTAATCTTTGCAATTCGATTTTATTTCTCAAGTTTTGTTTTTGTTTTTTTTTTTAT